TATGTGCCAATACTAGTTTCTACTGTAGCAACACGGGATCCCTTATCCAATCCAGGATGGAGATACACGATTCTAGCTAAGCGCCACTGTAAGGGCGGTGAGTTGTCTTGCTCAATAATGAGTAAGTCACCAACCTTCAAAATATTACCAGGATCGTTCCATTTGTGTTTCTGCTGTAAATTGGTTTGATATTCCATATGCCATCTGGACCAGGAACTAGCACTTAGATTTTGTGATAACTGCCATCGGGAAAGTAAATGTGATTTCAAATGACTCAAGTCAGGGTCTGGAAGGCGAGTTAGAGGTTCCAATATCGAGAAATGCCCTGGTGTCAGGACAGACAAATCGTTGGGATCAGTGAAAAATGGAGAGAGCGGTCGCGAATTTAATAAAACCTCAATTTGAGTTATGACTGTATATAATTCCTCAAACGTGAGAATTTGTGAACCTATTACCCTAGCAAAATGTGTTTTGAAGGACTCAACGCCTTCTTCAACCAAACCGGAAAAATGACTGTTTGTCGGGGGGTGAAAGGCCCAAACTTACTTCTCGTTTTCAGCGGCCGTTTTAATAATTTCGAGAATCTCGACGAAATTCGTGCCACAGTCACTAAAAATGTACGAACAGCGGCCTCTCCTGGCTATAAACCAACGTAAACCTGCCAAAAAGGCCTCGGTTGTCATATCAGAAATAAGTTTCAAATGTACGGCCTTCGTGGCAAAACAGACAGAAACACACACATACGCTTTGACAGTCTCCGCTCCACGGATTCTGCCTAACGTGATAAAAAATGGGCCGCAGTAATCGACAGTCACTACTGGAAATGCTTGCACTTGTGACACTCGATTCGCGGGAAGGTTACCCATAGGTGGCTGCAAATTTCGCGGATTGAGTCGCCAACATTTGGAACATTTATCTAGCACTTTCCGAATAGTCCGACTCTGAGATAATATCCAATAATTTTGTAACAAGAGAAAATGTAAAGTTTGTATCCCAGGATGTAGGTGAACATTATGAGTGTGTTCTATTATTAGCTCGGTGAGCCGACTTGAGCGTGAAAGAATAAGGGGGTGCTTTTTGTCATATTCTAGAAGTGAATTTTGCAATCGTCCACCTACTCGTAATAAACCGATATCGTCGATGAAAACACTGGGTTCTCTTAAATATTTCGGTAGCGGTTCATCATTTTTCAATCTTGAAATTCCATTTTCGAATGCTGTATGCTGTTTAAATTTGATGAGAATGAGTAAAGCCTGTTGTAATTCAATGTCATTTAATTCACGATTCATTATTTTTCTCATAGGATTTTTCAAATTGAAAGAAAATCTTTGGACGTAAGCGACTATTTTTTCAATTTTCTCTGAAGAAGAAAATTTATTCAAGAGGTTGTGTAACGAATCGACTTCAGTGAAAGCAGCAAGTACCGTTTTTCTTTCTTCAAAATCAAGGCCGGGAGGTATCAAATTCACCCTTGGAGTAGGCCACTCATTCTCGGGCTTTTTCAACCAACTTGGGCCTCCCCACCATAGCGTGTGAGCAATCAGTTCTCCAGGAAGGAGACCACGGGATGAACAATCAGCGGGATTGTCCTTCGAGGACACATGGCGCCACCAATTAGGAGGAATTTTATCTTGAATCATCGAAATGCTGTTAGCAACGAGAGTCTCGAACTGATTCGGATCTGACTTTATATATAATTCAATTTCCTCTGAAAATACTTCCAAAGTGTAACCAACTAACTTTGATAATAGATATGCTGCGGATAATTAGATCTTAGGAACAGATATCACTTCAGTTGGAGTAACTTTAGATTTTGCACTCAGAAGTGTTGTAAAAATGGAATTACCTTTGATTACTCTAACATTAAGACAAGAAGCATGAGCGTTTTGTGAACCATCACAAAAGGCGTGCGACTCGCTGCGGGTACAATCTTTCTATGTAATGAGGCATGGTATTTCAATCTTGGAGATTTCCGACAACTGAGTTTTATATATTCCCCATTTATCAAGAATTGGTTTCGGAGGGGTATCATCCCAACCGACTCCGTGTAACCACAACTTCTTCATAATCAACTTGGCAAATAGACTGATTGGTAATAGAAGCCCGAGGGTGTCAAGTATGCGGCTTATTCCAGACAAAATGTGGCGTTTCGTAAGCGGTTCCTTGATTATAGTAACAGAAAAAGAGAAAATATCTGAACTTGGAGTCCATTTCGATCCGAGAACCTCAATGGTACACTCAGTTTCCTTATCCATTGAGTATGATTTATTATACAAATAATCTCCAGATAAATTCTGTAAAAAGGCGGTATTATTGCTAGACCACTTTCTCAGTTGGAAGCCACCCTTGCCACATAAAGAAATTGATTGATTTTGTATTTCAAAGGACTCTAGGGGATCACAACCTCCAAAAAATTTTGGACGCCAGTGGAAAATTCGAATGTTCATCTTGGGCCAGTTGCGCTAAAGTGCGGAGGGAAAGCCAAGGGCTACTGGCAACCCCGAAAGGAACTTTCCGCAACAGTTACTCAACTAACGGTGCGTCTGGAGAAAATCTCCAAAAAATTCTTTGAAAATCTCTATCAGCGGGTCGGAGTGAAATTTGAAGATACATGCGGCCTATATCATCAGTGAATGCAATTAAATGCAATCGAAACCTCAAGATTATCGCTGAGATGTCCTGTTGCAATTGAGGTTCTTTCATTAAAGTATCATTCAACGAATAATTGTTGGTGCATTTTGTACTTGCATCAAAAACTATACGAACTGCTATCTGGTTTGAATGCGGTATATAGTAAGCAGGAGTTCTAGATAATTCAGAACTTGGAATTATTTCCATATAATCACAATCTATATACTCTTTAAAGATCTTCGAATATTCATAATATAAATTTTGATCGCGGCTCAATCTCCTTTCGAGACTATGAAAACGACGAAGGGCAATAACCCTAGAATATTCGAAATTCAAATCAGTGGAGTCTTTGAATGGAAGAGAGACCATGTATCGTCCGGTTTCGGAACGATTCGTTGTGTCGAGGAATATTTGCTCACATCTCGTATCCTCTGCAGACATCGTCTTCTTGATTGGTATCTCCTCTGATTCCCAAAATTGCTTCTTGATGTTCTCTAGTCGTGAAATTTCACAATTTTATTATGTGTAGCTCCCACTTTCCCGAACAAAATCCAACCAAACATGGTATTAACTGCAGTGGGTAAGTTATCATCATCGAATATACGCCCGTCTAGGAGAAGTCGCTGAAATATTTCGGCGCCAAAAAGTAGATCAATCGGTGAGGGCTGGAAAAATTGTGGATCACCTGAAGTCATATTTCTTATGTGACTCCAGGATGACGAATCAATTTCATAAGTTTGCATATTTGAACAAATGTCATCAAGAACTATATCTTCGAAATTCAAAGTCGCCGTTGTCGATCCGATCGGCTGAACAGTACAGCTGACCGTGTCAAGCGATGTGTGAGTAGTCATATTACCAATCCCATGTACAGAGACAGCTGATTTGAAAGGTTTAAGACCCAATCGATGGGAGTATCGCGTCGATATGAAATTTGCCTGCGAACCACTGTCACCCAGTGCTCTCATTACCTGAAAATTGCCACGGAAATCTGAAACTTCCGACAGAATGGTAGCCAGTCAAATATTTGTGCGGTTGAGAGAGATCTGCACTGAGTACGGCAGGGCCGGCGTCAGGAATCGTAGTCTGTGGAATTTCTCTATTTTGGATAAATGAATCAAGGGAGTTATCATTATTATAGTTTGGGGCTGAATTAGTTTGCGGTTTGTCAAAATGCAGAGTTGAATGGTGAAAAGCAGACTGGCAATAATAACAAGTGTTAGTTGAAGAACATTTTGACATTGAATCAGTATGACTCAAACAATTTGTACACCAGCGGTTTTGCTTGACAATATTATAGCTTTCTTGATCTATTACGATATCTCTAATATAGGACTATAGTTCATAAATATGTATATATCTTCTCTTTTTTTTTCTGCTTTTTCATCTTTCTTCCTTCTGTTATGAACATAATGATGTTTTAGATTATTATGCATGTATCATCCGATTATCATCAGATTCTAGTAGTTAGTTATTTATAAATATATATTTGAACTCATTTATATTGACTTGAATGTATATGAATGAGTTTTTACTGGTTGAGTGGAAGAGCAAATTCACAGGTAATTCGAACTCTGCCATTTGGCAGGCCTTTATTAAGTGTTCAACCTGTACATATCGATCTGTCCAATGAAAACATTCATTAATATTATCATTATTATTACAAAACAAAACTCACCTGGATTTCACGCAGCACACTAGTAAACAACACATCCACCATAGAACTAATAGAATATTCGATGTAATAATTTGTAGCAAAATTTGTTATTATGTTAGATACGTTCATGGAAGACGACAGCACCTTGACTGAATATTTTCAAGATAAAAAGTCAAAGTGACCACTGTGACCCGCTCTGCCCTACATAATACCTATCATCCACATTATTCCTGATGTGGGTGGGAATATTTTGTGGTGTCCGCAAAGCATTCGTCAATCGAACTAAATCCTCTCTTCGAAAACGAAACTTGGTTTTCACTCCATCATCAGACATATTATTCTAATTGAATATTTCTTAGTTCTCTCTTCTATCCTCAACAGCTATACCAATGATGTTGTGGAAAAGTGACAGTTCGATTTCTTGATGGTTAGCATCTCCCAATAAAGTTACCACTAACAGTTCAATATTCATATTGATGAAATTGAGAAGTTAAAAACATCCAGTGTCCACACGAAGACAGAATCCCGACTAAAATATTCTCTGAGTGACGTTGACATTGATTCGACATACCAGTCAGATTGAAGTGGATATATGTACGTATCCCTCTGATATTGGATGCAAGAATAAATGTTATTGTGGTCCGATAGGAGTATAAAATAAATGCAGAGTTATTCTTATATTCTACTTTGGATCATTTCACATAACAAATTTTCAATACTCTAGATAGAAGGCCAATCCGCACAGAATCCACCTGGTTCTTTCTCTGTTGTCACATGGAATTTCCAGAGAAAATACTTTCTCCTCCCTAGTTGAGGTTGAATAGACAGGCACACTGATTCCTTCTTCTGAAATAGTATCCTAGAAACCAGAAATATCACTGAATTAGTATGCTTTTTGAGAAGGTGCTTTAAACTCTTAAACTGTTTTCTACTCATCGCACCAGCGTAGAACTTCCTCTGCACTGAAAGTTGTCTGTCGTTATTCATCATGTACATTATTCAAGGATAGATATGCACTGAGTGCAAAATTTTAGTCTCGTGGAAAACGGTATAAAAGTATCATCTTACAAGAATTTAGTATTTTGTTTGTGTATAATGAGGAAATCTGTGGGGGAAGATATTGGATAATCTATAATAGTCACAGTTTGGTTTGAATAAGAAGAGAGATTTGGTATGGTTTATTCACTCGCGTGAAGGAATATACCTCTCAATTTATGAATTTCTCGAAACAATTCCACAAATGTTTAATGTTATGAATTCTAAGACTTCATTAAAATCATTCAAACCTCTGTTCTGAGATTTTCATCAGTTCTTCTGAATGCAATGTGGACGATACGAAATATGGGTGTCCTCTAATGTAGGGGAATCGAATTGTGAGAGAATGAAAATGTCGACAAAACATCATGTGGGTGAATCAAAGTGTGCAGTAATCAAAGTGTGAGAGATCAGAAATGTGAGTAGATCAGAATGTAATCGATTGAATTGAATTGTAGACCAATCAAAATATGAGCGAATCGAAATGTGGGTGAATTGAAATATAGGCAGATCGGAATTTTGGCTAATAGACATGTTTTAGATGAATCGAAATATGTGTAAACTGAAATGTGGATAAATCGTGATTTGGATGAATTTAAATGAGGTGAATCGAAATGTGGGCGAATTGAGTTGTGCTTGAATCGAATAGCGGGTGAATCAAAATGACTGAATCAAGACGTGGGGAAATCGAAATGTGATGCAGAATGTGGGTGAATAGGAATGTGGGTGAATTGTAATGTGGGTGAACCGAAGTATGGATGAAGCGAAATGTGGGTGAATCGTATTATAGACAAATGAGAGTGCGGACTGATCGAGATATGGGTAAATCAGAATAAGCGCGAATGGAAATGAAGGCGAATCAAGATGTGTGTGGAATGTAGAAGGATTGAAATATTGGTTGAAAGAGATGAATGGGCCTATCAAATTGATTTATGTTTGGGTGCATTTATATTGAGATTTGTTATGGTACAATTATTGAAATTGATAGGGGGCACAGTCAAACTGTCAGCCGTTGCATGTTTCGAATTCAAATAATTTAGGTTAATGTCGTTACTGTGAATATTTGAAACATTATTATGTGTTTCGGCGCTGGTAGAAGCGGTAGCGTAACTAGGAACACTTATGGCAATTTCGCAAAGAATTTTTTCAGCTACGTCAACTTTGTTTTGAATTGTATTCTCAATATATCCCTCAGCAACAGCAGTGGATATCCAATCACCAAGTCATTTGATTGCAGAAAAGTCTGCTCCACTCTCAAAAAGAGTCGAAGCAGAAGAACGCCGAGAACTATGTCCAGTGTATAGTTGTGGTTGCTTTAATTTCAGAAATTTCGCTATGACTGACGGCAATTTGGAAAATGTATTCAGACCAACTAGTTGTACTGAACATTTATCGTTTCTGTAGAAGATGAAGAAACGTGTGTGAGGTGCATGAGCTGGTCCCAATGAAATATAGCGTTTTATCAAATTTAGGAGTGTGTGTTGTTCATTGTCTAGCACGGTGAATATCCTGTTATATGCGTTCTAGTTGCCCTTATTGTCACTGAAAATTTTGAACCCATATCTTGCAGTTTGCTGCTGTGAGGAATTGAACCCTCGACCTCTATGCTCTACCATTAGCATTTCGTCAGCTTAATACTACTGAGCTATCTTGCTCGCGTGAATGATGTACACGTATTTTTTTTCTGCTTGGAGCGCACGAAAAGAAAACCCTATAATGTTCAAGGAACATCGTGCGTTCCTAGGGGGGATAGGGACAGGAGGTAGGTATTGGATTTTTTTTTGAACTTTTGGAGATTATATGTTGTTGGGAATACTTCCTCAGTCAATGAATTCCAGAGCCAAGCCATTCTATGGATGAAGGAGTTTAGATAAAGTGCTAATATTGATCAATATACTGAATTTTCTATATCTAATGAAATTAAGTAGTTTCATTACTTTTCCATTTATATTCACCTTCGTCATTAGGAATATGTTGTTGGGAGCACTAGCGATGAATTCATGTATATGTTTTTTTTCCAGGACTTTGGACTTTTTCGGAACATATCCCACTCTTTGGCTCTCAATGAACATAATCAATTTATTGTTTTTACTTATATCAATGTTCTCTTTCACCATTAGAGTTGATTTGACCATCGAATATTTCGGCCACAAACTTGCTATGAGGCCTCTTTCTGCAATTGTGTTACACCAGGAAACAAATTCTAAATAAGTTATCTCATGAATGTGTCTGCTTTCTTCTGGTAATGAAGCCAAAGAAGTCACTTTAGCAGTTTCTGCTACATCTGGTGGTGTCAAAATAAAATTTTCTTCCATATCCATTTTTTCTTCAACTACCTATTTAATAATATTATACTTTCGACAGCGCGAAATACCTCGGAGAAACATTTGAATTTGTGTTATCGTGTATGCTTGATTGTCTATTTTTTTTTCTCGCTTGGATCGCACGAAAGGGAATCCCTATAATGTTCAGAGAACATCGTGCGTTCCCAGGGAGGAAAGAGACAGGTGGTTGGTATTGGAATTTTTTTTGAACTTCTGGAGATTATATGTTGTTGGGAATACTTCCACAGGCAATGAATTCCAGAGCATTAATCAACAAATCGTTCATTAATAGGGGTCATTAATGAACGATTTCATATACATCAAACTTAGTCGTTAATACGAGGTCGACGGAAATAGTTATTTAACCAACTAGTGTATTGATGAGGGCGATTAATGATCGAGATATTTTAACGTGCGAGCGAAGCGAGTGCGTTAATGTTCGAGATCATTAATCGCCTTTTAATATACAAGTTGGTTACAAAATTTTTCCGTCGACTATATTTCTCATTTCTCCTGCAATGAAGAAAACTTGGTTCGCCAAATCATCATCCATCCGGAAACTGCTAAGAATCACCCAGTAGGTTACTGACATTAGACACATTTGACATTAGTCGAAATGATCAACATAGGAAATAAATTCCTTGTGTTAAAAAACAGGGATTAATATCGTGCCAGAATCTTGGAAAGGCGAACCCGTTAACGGAAAATCGTCGATGAAATCCATATTTTCGATTTAAATGCAGATTCCGTAAGTTCTAGCATATACAATGAATGCACGCGGTGTATGTTTGGTTGCCTATAAAACAATCGTGTATTAATAGACAAATCGTTCATTAATAGGGGTCATTAATGAACGATTTCATATACATTAAACTTAGTCGTTGATACGAGGTCGACGGAAAAATATTTTAATCCATTATCTGCAAAAAGAGAGAGAAATATGACCGCCAACACGAAAGCATTTTACAAAAATCAGAATCATTGTTGTTTATTTTATGAACATTGTGTGGGTATGTCTTTGAGCTTTTTGTATTTATTCAAATATACAAGGTGGATTGCATCAGAGGAATCCAAACTGAAACTTTTGAAAAGTCTTATTGGCGTCTAAATGGATGGCAGAGATCACATGATTGACAAAAACTGAACTCAATATCGGCTATGCGCTAAATGTGGAGAATGTTGAATCTGTGTGCCTGGAATGCAATATTGGCCTTTACCCAGATTTCTGCTCCCGTTTGCAGAATGATTTTCTTCAATAATTCCATATGTTATACACATTTCTCTAAACTCTCATAATAATATTATCAATTGTTTCTTCATGCCCTGTTTTTCCCAGTGAATGATATATCATACATCAAATGAACGTCATTTAGATGTGTCAGATGGAACATCCAGAATATTCATCAACGAGAAGGAAAATCAGAAAAAACCCAAACGGAATATCATCAAACACAGTGCATATCGAATTATTAATTCATCATGATAGAGTATTGAAGAAATACATAAACTAACCTGACATATTGTATAGTGAGTATTAGCTGGTCTATCGAAATCCGACCTTTCATATATTCGTGGAGAAATAAATGTTGGGTCTACCAGATGATTCTCAAGACCATTTTAATTGCGAATTCAGAAAAGAAATCTCGTAACATTTTGCTGATGATCGCGAGAAGCTACTTACATGAAGTAATTGAACCATACTCTCGTTTCAATAGTTGCTTCCATAGACGCTCCTATTGCTATTGTCTTCGCTCCAAAATATTTATAACCTTAACTCCAATATGTCGAGTGGAGGGCTAAGAAGAACATATTTTGCATTTCGAGAATACAGGTATCCACTGTCCTATCTTCTGACATATATCGCGCAGAGGCTCATGAGATAATAAACTACATAAGATAATGAAATACCCCAATAAAAACAGAAGATATTGCAATGCCTGAATCATGGGAATAATAAAATCTTTTTACACTCGTGTAGTGAGTAGAAAGTGTGGAAGTTTCGCACGCTCGTAAATAACACATTCTGAATATGAAGAATATCAGAGGAAAATATACTGCATTACTCACCTTTCTCGTCCAATTCAAGTAGCAGTTAGGGGCATTATTGATATTTTCAGAATTGGGTGTACATTGCTTGATAATACCATTCACGAATAGTCCTCCTTCAACCAGCAAGTCTGTCACGATCAAAGAATTCGCGTTTGCTCTCCAACTAGTTTTCAGCAAAAGTTCGTCCATAGGTACCTGACTAGATCTATAAATCGATTATGAAAGTTCATTAGGATATGGGATAGCGATATCACAACACAACTATTCCATCATGTCATTTTTTTAACTTTTAACCATATAGTTGATCAATATTATGGGTGACACTTGAAATGTCAAAATGGGGACTGTCGATAGGTTGAGCGCGGAGGTGGCATATTCATTTTTTCTGATTTTTTCGGTCCCTCTTCGTTTCAATGAAATCAAAATATGAGTATTTTCGCTATATACTTGTAGTGAAAGCATATCAGATGATTCGTCCCGAAATGTCACTGCGATTCAAAATGTTGTTATCAGAGAGCTCAAAAGTTAAATTTATCTGATTGTCGGTGACAAAGCAGTGTCAACAATGGAATACGAAGACAATTTGCGAGAATATTTCCGATTTTTCATGTTGACAACGGAAGCAGATTTATGTTATCTCTATACCTATATAGCTCTACTTCAAATCATTCTCGAAAAAAAGTGTCCCTGACAATCGAATTATTGTTGTCTGATAGTGAGATTTTCTAACGCAGTGATATTTTGAGACAAATTATCTGATTTGTTCCCACCTCCCGTAGGTATATCGAAATATTACTAATATATCAATTTCATAGAACCTAAGAGAGAATATATCGCAAAAATCAGGAAGAATGAATATATTATTCACCTTCGCGATCGAATATCGACAGTATCTATTATTAAATACACGTGTCACTAATAATATTGACCAATTTTATGCATTATTGAAATACATATTCCTTCGATTTTGGAAAACAAATCATAAAGCAACCTAATCTGATGAAAGAAATTGAGAGGATTTCTGATAATCACCAATAATACGAGAAGTATTTGTTGAGATTATTTCACCAGTTGTTTAATGAAGAAATTCAATAATTTGTCGTCAAATTTTTATTTCTCCAGTGTAACGTATTCCTTAATAAGAAAATAATTCGACATTCATGACAACCTGCTGCATTTTGTTTGATTTTTGAATAAACTACCAATGAGAAATCGAAAACACAGTATGTTGTTACCGAGTATCTGATCGTTATCCGAGATATATAAACAAGAACAAAATGTATTCGTTTATGAACACAGATATCTTGACCAATCGAAATCGTGAAATTCGATGAAGTGTTATTAGAAAACAATATTCTTGAACGTTACAACCGATTCCGTCACTAAGGAACTCTACGTATTGAGCCAGTTTTCCTGGAGTTACCCAGTAAAATTTCTACGCAAGTTGCAGTTTGGATGAATATCATAATTTCACTCGGATTGCTCTGGAACTTTGCAGGCTCTTTCTGGACGAGATACTGATGAATATTTCAATGGCACTTTCACATAGACTACCTTCTATACAGGCAGACTGACAAGACACAAAGACAAGACATGGAATCACTCAAGTTGAGAGTCACTGAATTTGAGGAAATGATTGATAAAACCAACTTATAGAATCAGAATGGCCATTTCATCTGATTCTTCGTTTTTTTTTTCTAAATCGGCGCTATGGCTATGAACGTTATTTGTCAGTCAGCCTGAATAAAAGTGTTTAAGAAGATAACAATGGGCTATTTTTTATTATCTTGGCTCAGCTAGATCATTTTTCATTCCTTGCTGGAGTCAAGAATGTTTCTCACCTAGAAACGTCTTGTTTGTATGAAGCTAGGAATTTTCCTGGGTGGAATAGAGAAGACAGATTCAGTGGACGTTTCAATAGCTCGTTTACATTTTCATTCTTCCATTTCGATAGTGCGATGATTTTGTTGATGATAGTTTTGAGATACTGTATGGGTTCTTTCGGTCCATTCCACAAATTCAACCATGATTGTGGGGTCTGAAATCATAAATGAAAGAAAGTAAGACTCAGCTATTGCAGGAAACCAATTGACTCTGGATATCCCAATAGAAGCTAGTTTCTCACTAGTTCGCTGTCAATAAATAAAGGTGTTCCACGAATATCTGTTCTAGGACCAATACTGTATCTGCTTTATATTCGAAATATCAATAAAGTTGGTTTAGCGAGTAATCAAACCATATATGCTGACGATACAGTGCTATTGTATGAAAAAAAAAATCCTCTCATTTTGGGAACTGTGATAAATAACGCTCTGAAATTATTCGAAAATGGATCCACTTTAACCTCCAATCAATAAATACCAGAAGAACTGAATACATTATTCTTCAACACAAAAATGAACAGCAATAATTCAGCTATATGAGAAATGAATTCTTGAAATATACTGAACAGACGAGTGTTTAGGTATATGGTTCGATGAAAAATGTAACTAGGACAAACATATTGAGGTTCTGACAAAGAGCGTTCACTCCTAAATGTTTCACGAATACATCAACTACTTTAGGTAAGGTTAGGTTCCAACCCCAAGTAACATTTTAAATGCCTAATAGCTTCGATGAGACTTTAAAAAGGTTATGTGAGCGCAAATGATAGGTCTAATTTGTTCTACCGTTTTATGAATGCCCTGAAAAAAGCATATTGGCCTTCATGTCCATATAATGCTATTAGAAGGCTTTGAGATACTATGATAGAACTATCGCATAAAACAATTTGGCATTCAGTCACTTCGGTTTTAAGAGAGCTCTGTGAGAGGCATTAAAATTCTCCATCAAAACTATTCACTTTTAACAACCCTCTCAAAATTCTTTAGTTTTATTAGTTTCTCGAAATTGACCAAGAGGTTCTGAACTAATCCTATGAAAATACGTCATAAAGCAATCATAAAACCAAATTTACACTAGGCCAATTAGGATTTGACTGAGGCAATAATGAAACCAATTGGCATTATTCTAGCTACGTGAAAGTAATCATTGAAACCTATAAGTCACAATGAATTCATCGTCAAGTCCATCATAAAATCTATAGGATTTATGAAGTGTTATTCAGAACCGTGTTAAACCCAAATTCCATAATATAAATGTTCGTATTTTTCTTGCCTACAAACGACTCACGTTGAAATGGACTCACAAGGAGATAAATAGTGTGAAATTTAAAGAAATGGCAACTTCAAGCGAAAAAATGAAGAGAATTACTTAGGAATCAAAAGTCGTGAGAGCAACAGTAAATCAGAATTCTCAAGCCCAAGCGATTCCAAACACTGCGTCTTTCAATTCATACCACCTGAATCCACCAAATAGCAAGAATTCATTGGGACCTGATGTTCATGAAGAACCATCAACGAGTCAGGACGTAATGAAAAATAATTCTGATCATCGTGCTTCTGAATGGGAACAAGAAAGAGAGGAAGTTGACAACAGTTTTGCACAAATTATGTCAGATGGCGAGTATAGCATGAATTTGAGAGAATGGAGCAATCAACACAATATCAGGCGAATTGCACTGAGTTCAGGTTGTCTATATTTCCTACTCGATTTCCTACTTTGAATCAATCACAAAATTCACAAAGTGAACACTGTAAACAACAAAAGTGGAGTTATGTTAATCATGTTGATGACGTTCTTCTACACTTTGCAACACTGCCAATGAGCACTAGCCAGGATATTCTTAAAGCTTTATAGTTTTATGAAGGCGTTATCTCATAACCTTCTTAAATCAATCTTATCATTCTCGAAGCTTTGTTGTCATACCCAGGAGCAAATAGTCATAAGAATTCATTCGAACATGCAATAAGTACTTCAACAGGAGGAATTCGTCTCATAAAATGCCTTATCATTACCTAAAGGTTTTAATCAAGCATGAGAGAAAGAAAATTGGTTTTAAGTATATTTTGCGCCATATTTACTACAAACAGATGTCGTCCATTGATGGAAATGAAAATTTCAAGCGGAAAATAGAAAAGATGCATTTATACTGCCGTCGAAAATGTTGATATTCCACATTTTTCAAACGACTCACCCATATTCAGCAAACATTCACACAGTTTTGTCAACATTTTTGAAAAGTTTTTAAAATTCACATCCAATTCTAACTGGTGAAAACACATTATTTCTATGGCGCTGCTTTTTTTGAAGCATATCTGGTATGTTTTCGTCAAAAAAGTCGTAATCGTTTTCTTTTTGCAGCCTCAATCTTCACAAAGAGGACTATTTGATGCAGTAGGGAATTATCATATCATACCGTCATGTTTAATCTCTTTCATAACTATCTATTGTTGTCTCTCCATTTTGACATATTTGTATTATTATTAGTTCTGGAAAAAGACTATCATAAAACACGTTACGGACTATATCATCTTAACAAATGCTTACCTGCGACTGATAAGGTTTCAATTCTAGCCAATAAGTTTCAATGTTGGCATAAGAACTGTCGTTTTGAAACATTTAGGTTTGAACTCGTGCTGAAAGGCTTTAAAGGAAGTAGTTTTGATAGGTTTTATTATTGCTTCGAGGAATACTACAATAAATTCCTATTTGTTTCATGACAAGCTTCAAGAGAACCTGTGACAGCATTTATAAAGGTATGCCCTTAATGTTTTGAGAAGGTTGTTTAATTGTTTTAATGATATTATTAAAGTATAATAGTTTTAATGAGGCATTTTAAAATAGGCTGTAACAACCTCCTGTAGCTAACAATAAAACTGATAATGTTATTTGGGACGTGAGTGGGTCCATGGCAAATCCCCACTGCGGCCAATGGCCTATTGTGGTTCTATCTACTACTTTACTAGAGCAAAGAATTCAACGGATGCATTGCAGTTCGGGAGCCCACAAGTTCACACTCAGCAGTATTAAAATCCTCCAAATTCTACTTTTCACTACGGAAATATGAGCTTGCCGAATCAAAATCGTGAATCAAAAAGTGAGGTCGCGTGGGTGAAGTTATATGAAGAACCTAGGATCACGAACCATAACTTACCGTTCGGCGTATGTCGAAAGTTACTGAGAGTAACAACAATTTCAAGCAGACCGCAATGCCGAACGTGTAGTAGGGTGGATACGATGCGTAGTTACACGGTAAGTAAATAGACAAAGCATATTTCAAGATCAAAACCTTGATCTTAGCATGGTTCCTTTGATCCTAGAATCGGTTATAGGTTCTGAGGCCAAGGCCTCGATCGTAGAACCGCCATACGATTCTGGTATCAAGTTCCTACGTGGCGTACGAAGTTTCTTTGATTCTAGTATCGCTTTATATGAGATCAAAGTCTTCATCGTAGAACCGCTATATGATTCTTGTTCCTACATGGATCACGGGAATTCTTGCGATCTCAGAAATCAGAGATTATTTCCAAGTGATCTCTGCTTGATCTTACGGAGTGTATAATCAGCAGGAGATCATCTCCAGGTGATTCTGGAAGCATGGTATTGTTGCGATCGCAGAAACTGTCGTCATACAACTGAGATAATCAGCAGTGGAGATACCTCCAGATACAGTGACCCTTGCACTCTCAGATCTTGATCTCAGAAATTGATTCTCAATACACTTTACTACTTTTTGACTTGTTATCTGACTCCGTGATGTAATTATTATATGCTGTTTTTCTGGCGACTTTCAACTGATTTTTATAGTATTTACGAGAAGTTCTATAGGAATCATAATCTTCCGTACTTCTTGAACTGCCACAAATAGTTTTTATTCAGGAAAGGATATCTTCGATTTCTCGTAATTGAACATTAAACCACCTGACTGTGCTTCCGTATCATGATGACTTACCTTTCTGTGAAAAACCATTTTTGTGTGCTGTGTAACAAAGTATTTAGAGATTCATTAGCATACTTGTTAACATCAATGTTACATATAGACATTGCTTCTCAAAAAATATCTGCCAATAAGGAATTCAGCTTTTCTATATTTTTTTTATCGACCTGTTTTCTTCACACTATTTTAGTCGAAATACAGTTTTCATTCAAAATAATGTATTATCCATAATGATCAGATAGGCATGGCTCAAATACTCCCGTTTTGAAAGAATCATGATCGGAATTCGTCATAATGTTGTCGATACATGTAGCAGAGAGTGCTGATACTCTCGTATCTTCAGGAATTGTTATGTCCAAATCAAATGAATTTATCATACATATAAGTTCTTTGCGTTCCATGGAAGATGATTTGGAATCAACATTGAAATCTCCACAGATAATTATCAACTTATGGCATACATTTGTACATTCAACTAGAAGATTTCCGAAATTGTGCATGAATAAATCGAAGTAACTTCGACCAGACCAATAGCAAGTTATCAAAATTGCATTCGATTTCTTTGAATTCCAGAGCGGATTTCATGAGAATACAAACTCCACCATGTTTCCTCGTCTTCCTACAGAAATGAGAAGCTAGAGAGTAACCTTGTATATTGATTGACTGGAGAGCATGTACATTCAGCCAGTGTTCAGATGAGCAGAGGATGTCGTAATTATTGTTTTCTAGAAATGAATTAATTCGATCTACCTAATTCGAAAAACATCGTATATTAATGTAAAAATAAAAATTGCTATACTGTTATCAAACTTGCCAGTGACTCTTTGAGCATCTATAAGGTATGTTAAGGGTTTTGTTGAGGGTTTTTCCTCCGATGAAAACAACGATTAGATTTGTGTGATCAACATCAACTTTCAATGAAAAATAATATTTAGGATACATTGGAATGGGAAGATTCCGTCAGGTGAATTTTTATGAAATGAGCTCAAAACTACTCGATATTATGTTTATACTTCTGTTCTATATACTGTTTCATTTTGAAAATAAAGCAGTTTATAATTTTCGAGGCGGCAAACTGTGACGAATTTTTTCAATCTATTCTGGATATAGCTGTACAAAAGATGATACGGGAGAATAGCGAACGAAAACAAAATAGAAGAAGGGGACGAAAAAACCTCAAAAAATTCCTATTTTCATTATTATGACTTGGCTGTTGGTTG